GCGAATTTGGTGCTCAAAGGACATATAAAGGCAAAACGGGCAAAGGAAAACAGAAGCAACAACTAAAATCAATGACCATATCGGTTGCTTACCTTCAGTGCGAAGATGGATGCTAAGAAGGAGACATTTATTTACTGCGTTGTTTTTTGGGTTTTTTTAATACTACAGGGCTTATTACGAGGTGAATTGTACAAAAGACAGGATATCTGATTGGAAAAGAAAGAAAAAAGAAAGAAAGAAAAAAAGAAAGAAAGAACGAAAGAAGGATAAACAATTGAAAAAGAAAGCAAATGTTATTCGGAAAGAAAGAAAGATAGACAGAAAGACTTAAATAAAAAGAGGAAGAATAAGAAAAAGACCTGCGTAATGATGGGAATAAAAGAGAATTAAAACAAAGAGAAAAAAAAGAAAAGCAATGAATTGGATGTAAATGGGAAACTAAAAGATGAGGAGAACTTTACTGTTCATTTGCACACAATTAATTGACGGATATTATATTTCGGCAGAGTGTTAACCAGAAATATTTGGACGAATTATATAAAAAACCCCCGATTATCATGGACCGAGTCTGTGAGCAATGACGAGGTCTTAGAGAGGATGCAAACAAGGAGAAGGCTTATACTTAACATAAGGAAGCACCAGATGAAATTTCTGGGATACGTAATGCGGAAGCAGGGCCTGGAGAATATGATACTCACAGGTCGAACAAAGGGAAAGAGAGACAAGAGATAAAAACGCGTGATAATCCTATCGGGCTTAAGCAAGTGGGTGACAGGGGAGGTGGCAGAGATAGGGAACTTGTTAATAGCTGCAAGGGATAGACGGAATTGGAGACAGATGATCGCCTACCTTCTAAAAGGACACGGCACATAAAAGTGTTTAACCGATTAAAAAAAATCATTTGTTAATTTGCACCCGAATAAAGAAGGACTAATGTTTACTCAGAACATTTTGAGAGATCAGAAAATAGAAATCAATTGCATGTGATGTTAGTCCCGTAGAACAGGGATTCATATATTCGATATATTACAATGGCCGTCCTTATTTGAATAATGTTTTTTCCACGTTAAAATTACATTAAACCCAGGAATAAAAATTTTGCTGGTTTCAATCAAATGAAATTGAACCCAGATCATAATTTAGATTCTTTATTATTACATTAACACGATTGGAATTTCGAACTGTCAATAGTTATTAAATGTTCTTAAATCTGAAGGTATACGTAGGTGCGTGTTTGTTAGCATTACGGTGTGATGGGTGAGTGTGAGTTTTTCTACCCCATCCATACTTCATGCCTCTAAGTATTTCAAGACACACCAGAAAAAAAATATTCATATATCTTTATCCTTTCTCCCAAGAAACCATACTAATTCCCAGAAAGCTACGGAGAGCTATAATCGCTTGTGTTCTAAAAGGACATCTCATAAAAAAAAACTGATGCATCTCAAAAAAGAGATTAAATTGCAGATAAAAGGCTAATGACTCAATAGGCATGACGCATTGGAAAAGATAAGATATCTTCTGGTTTGTGTTGAGGTTGAAAATGTGACGTAGCTGGAGCTGGGAGGGAACATTCTTCTACAGGCGGTTCTTTCTCAAGACCTGTCATATTCAGATTACCAATTTGGCGCTTACTGCAATACTTCTTGTCTTTTCAATGCTTCCAACCAGTTGATGAAATCGAACGTTCCACAAAGAATTCCTTGGGGCAAAAGAGAAATCTTTTTTCTTTTTTTTTGTGTGTGTGTGTAAATGTAAAAATTATCGGAAAGACTTAGGTCAAAATATTTCAGGGAACAATTTGATAACTGAAAACTTTAATTTATTCATTAAGTTATATAAAATGTTGAAATTAATTGATTTTTTTAAATTAAATATACCGGAAAAGTACGTCCTTTCTTCTGTATTATATATATATATATATATATATATATATATATATATATATATATATATGTGTGTGTGTGTGTGTGTGTGTGTGTGTATGTATGTATTTATGTATGTATGTATAATTGATCTAATAGACACGGAAAAATAATTGCAAAATCTCTAGAGAAGGTAGCGACAGAGTGAGAAGAAAGGACTAAACTACAAGAAGTTCGATTTGCTGGTCGGGAACACTAGAATCAAGCAGACAACGGAAGTTTAAATAAATAAATGAACTGTTTTGGCTGTGGTAAGTACGACCGTTAGACGTATTGGGATGAACAAGATCACATTCCAAAAGCTGGGCTGAGCATTGCAAGACAGGGGGATTTCTTTGGTAACAAAGAAAAGCATACTGAGCTTTTACGTGGCATCTGTCCTTCTTTACGGCAGCGAATGTTGGACGATTTCCTCAAAGATGAAGAAGAGACTCGAGGCTCAGGGATGTGGTTCCACAAAAGGATGCTAAGGATATCATGGATTGATCGTGTGAGAAACGATGAGGTCTTAGAGAGGTTGCAAAAAAGAGGAGGCTTATGTAACATCAGGAAGAGGCAGCTGAAGTTTCTGGGACGCATAATGAGGAAGGAGGGCCTAGAGAATCTGATACTCACGGGTCGAATAGTGGGAAAGAGAGACAAGGGAAAACAAAGCGAGACATAGCTGGCAGGCTTAAGCAAGTGGATGACAGAACGAGGTCTGTGGGAGGAAACAGATTGATGTAACATGCTATGAGCTTCAAGGGATAGATGGAGGTGAGGAGCCATGATCGCCTAAGTCCTGAAAGGACATGGCAAATAAAAAGAAAAAGAAGTTGTAAATGTAATACAAATATTCCTATTTGTCAATGAATAGTGAACAATTTCTTCATAGATGCATGGGAGATCTGAGGCAACAGAGATGTGGTTCTACAGAAGAAATACTGCAAATACCATGTACGGGGATATAGGTAACTGGTAAGTGCTAAGGAAAATTGGAACGCAAGAGGATAGTTTTGCTTAAGGTCGGACTTATGCTAGAATTGGTAAAAAAAAATATTTAAAGAAAAAGTAGAACGCCGCTTAAAGAATTGCCACAGAATAATTCAAGATTAAATTTCACGCTTACATGTGGCACAAAGCCGAAAAAAGCGGCACCTAGTGAGACTCAATAATCAGTCGTAATTGTTCTAGCGAAACTGTTTATTAAATTGTTTATTTTATTAAACTGTTTGTACAGTTTATTTAGTGCGAAACATTACTCCTTTCACACACACACACACACACATATCGATTTTCCAAGCGTAGCTTAGACGTGGCACAAAAAGTATGGGGCACCAGTGAGGATCGAACTCACTTTTTCGTAATTATTCTAGCTAATCTTAAATTACCACCTCAGGTGCCCCCCTCTATATATAAATATATATATATAATGTGTGTGTGTGTATATATATATATATATATAATATATATATATATATATATATATATATATATATATATATATATATATATATATATATATATTTTCTAAGCGGCTCTAGTGACAATCGAACTCCCTAATTATCGGAACGACGGCGTTAGGTGAAAATATTACAGGAACATTTTTTATCACTGAAAAGCAATTTATTTATTAAATTATATGAAATGCTGAATTAATTGTTTTTTTTTTTTTTTTTTTATTAAATATACCGGACACCGTCAATGTCATACAAATACTCCTATTTGGCAATGAAGGATGAACAATTTCTTCATAGATGCAGAGGAGATTTGTGGCAATAGAGGTGGGGTTCTACGGAAGAATGATGCAGATATCATGGACAGGAATATAGGCAGCGGGTAAGTGCTAAAAATATTGGAATGCAATTGGATATTTTGCTTAGGATCATGAAGTGACTTTTGAAATTTCTGAGGCACATAATAAAAAGAAATAGGGCTTGGAGAATTTGTCCCTCACAGGACATATTGAAGCAAAACTGACAGAAAGATATAGAAGCAACAGCTAAAATCAATGAGACATGTAGCCCGAAGGGAAATAATGACATAAGCAGATTACTTCGAACAAAAGGTTAGGAAGGAAACCTCCATCAATGCTAGAAGGAGTTTAAATCAACGGAAATGTGGTTCTACAGAAGAATGCTATGAATAACATTATCCGAACATGTGAGCAATGAGGAAGTTCTAGAAACAATGAAAATAAAAGGACATTTATGCTTAACCTCAGGATGAGACAGTTGAAATTTCTAGGACGCATAATGAGGAAAGAGGGCTTGGAAAACTAGATACACACAGCATAGATTGAAGACAAAAGGGAAGAAATCAAAGCATAACGTACCTGGCGAGCTAGCGTGAATTGGTGGTGAAGCAGCGGGGGGGGAGGCGTCTATTAAAAAGACTAAATTTATTAAGATCTGCAAAGGAGAGGAAATTGTGGAGAGCCAAAATCTCGAACCTCCTGAATAGACACGGCACATAGAAAAAGAAGAAGAAGAAAGAGGAGAATAATAATAATAATAATAATAATAATAATAATAATAATAATGCTGATAACCGCTATGCTACCTTCATATCTACAATCAAATATATGATTCGGAGAAAGACGCTTAGATTCACACATATATGAACACACATACTCCCACCAAATTTTATCTTAACTATATGCTCGCAGGCTACAGCCAGCCCCCCGCCCCACTCGTTCGTTTTATTCATTCTTTCAGAGCCACACACGCAAAGAACATACCGACAGAAATAAGAAGGAAGGCCTGAGCATGAAGCCCCTTCAACCATGATTAATGGAAGAAAGCATGAGGAAATAAAAAGAAGCAAACAAAATTTAGAAAGGAAAGAAACGGAAAGAAAAAATATAATTAAAACACAAAAGTAAAAACAAATATAGCGTGGGCATTAAGTTGTCTAAGACGCCATGTAAAATTATCTTACCGGGAACAGGACTTATCTCTCAGTCGTCTTGTTCCTCGTTGGTAGGAATTGATCCTATCACTCGTTCCCGACAAGTGGACTAAATTTAAAATTAAAAGTTCTATTAGAAAAATCGCATCCAAATTGGAGTCATCGTTAAAATCGATTTCGCTCGTAATGAAAGAATTCATTTTGTGTTCTTTTTACATTTTATTTGTTCCGCCTTACTCACTAGCTGCTTCCTCACCACACGTATTCATTTTTCTTTGTAAATTTGCTTTTTTTT